GTGTGGATACACAAAAGGTAGAGGGCAGGTTATAGCCCAAGTCTATAATTTATGAAAAAAGCTAGGGCTATAAATGATATCATAAAGGATAATCCATCAGTGAGTGATAACAGTGAAACATTTCATGCTCTAAGGGATGGTTTCATGATTTTAAAGCCAGAGATGGGGTCCACAGCATGACTAGGCATGATGAAGCAGCCAGTGCTGACAAAAGGGCTGCTGGAAATTACATACACCACTTTGAAATGATGACACAGAGAAATGGTTTTTGCTCTCGTTGAGTATTCAAAGGTGACAGCACACCTTTTCTGGAGGAAAATGCCCAGGAGAACATACATTGCCCAAGGAGAGAAGAAAATGCCAGCCCACGACCCTATGAAGGACAGGCCAACCTTATTGAATGTGCAAATGCAAGTGGTGACCTCAAAATAAAGCCTCTCTTGGTTTGTCACTCTGAGACCCCTAGAGTGTTCAGAAAACATAAAATCATGAAGAATAGGCTAGGGGTCATGAGGAGATCTAACGCAAAAGGCTGGGTGACAAGAGTACTTTTTCTTGAGTGGATCGAGGAAGCTTTCTGTCCTACTGTTAAGAAATATTTAGAGGACAAAGGATGGCCACTCAAAGCTCTCCTCATCATGGACAATGCTCCTGTTCATCCACAAGATTTGGAAGAAGAATTGGCTGAAGAACTCCCATGACTCTCAGTTGAGGAGTTCCATCTACCTAATACAACTCCTCTACTGCAGCCTATGGGCCAGCAGGTTATAGTTAACTTTAAGAAGCTATAAACCAAGGAACTGTTCCTGAAGTGCTTCCAGGGGTCTCGGATACAGATTTAACCCTTAAAGGGTTCTGGAAGGCACATGACAACATCTTTTCCTGTGTAGGGTTAATTGAGAAATCCAGGACCAATGTCTCTCTAAGGACATTCAGATCTGCCTGGAAGAAAGTGTGGCCTAAAAGTAATAGGAAAGAGACTTTGAAGGCTGTGTAGAGGAACCTAGGGCTTCAAATGACCCTGTGGTTGATGATGCTGTCATGAAGCACAGTCCATAGGCTCCCAGGTAGACAGTGGTAATGTTGAGGAACTGGTGGAGGATCATTCAGAGGAATTGTCTACAGAGGAACTTTAGCAACTTCTGGCTGAGCAACAAAGAATGGCAGCTGATGAGCTTTCTGAAGAGGAAGGGGGAGTATCAACCACCAGTGCAAGCAAAATTCTTCTTCTGAGATAAAGGAAATCTTGAAAAACTGGACAGAGCTACAAACATTTGTAGAGAAGACATCAGACAGAAAAAAAGCCAATCATTGCATAATGACAATGTCATGTCATACTACAGAATAATATTAAAGAAAAGACATGAACAGACAACCTTAGAGCAGTTTTTAGTTCTGCAAAGGTTGAAACCTAGCGAGCCTAAAGCTGGTCCTAGTGGGCTGCAGACGCCCCCAAGGAGAGAAAGGACACCAGAGAGCTGGACTCCGCATGGGCTTATGGAAGGGCACCCTCCTTCCAAACAATACCCACCTTTCATTTCATCTCCCTTCCTGCAAGCCAAAGATGTCCATTTGAATGGTGAGTACAGTATGAAATTGTTGTTTCTGGTAAACTAGGCACATTTTACAAGTTTTTGGTGAATACTCTAGGAAAATTATTGGTGTTTCTGGTAAATTATGCACATTACCCAACACTTTTTATTATGAAAAGGTTGGTTAAGAGGTGCTTTGGGAGGTTCAGAATACATTATGGTTATTTCCATTATTTCTTATGGGAAAAATAGTCTTAACTTACAACCAACTTGAGTTACAACCAACCCTCACGAAGAAATTGAGTTCATAAGTCAGGGGTCCACTGTATTCTCTTCTAATCACATAGGCACTCTACCACCCCATGCACACTTTACTCAGTCTGCACATTACTTGTATAAGTGGCACTATAGTTACACTACGAAGTTAAAGAAAGGGATGATATTTACTTTTCCAAATAACCTGTGAATCCTAGTGTCCCAGACTGACCAAAACTCTGAGAGCCTTCTACTGAATCTCCCTATCAATTTCACTTTCACCATCAAGAGCTAAGTTTTCATATAGTCTACACACGGTAGAGGCTGGGTGGGGGGAGTTGTCCAACTTTCACTCTCAAGTAGGGAAACAAGGGTTTCTAAACAGCCTGCTGATGCCATTGCTTCTTGTTACCCTACTGCATTTATTTTTTAAATGACTCTACAACACTTCATGAAATTCACCAATTTAAATCATTCACTTCTGTGATTTTTGATAACAATACAAAATGGTACACCACCATCATAAATCCAGTTTAGAATATTCACACACACACACACACACGCACACACACCATAAGGTTCTTCATCGCCATGTTGAATGAATCACTGTTCCTCCTCCTCTCTCTAGGCAACCACTAATCTTCCTGCTCCCACCTTTTCCTTCTATCTTTTCCAGAAATATCATATAAATGCAATTATATAAGATGTAGTCTCTGTGTCTGTTTTCTTTTTTCAGTTTCACATAATATATTTTAGGTTCATCCATGATGTAGTGTCAGTAGTCTCTCCCTATTTTTTGTTGGGAAATATCCCAGTGTATGAATATACCACATTTTGTCCTTCCATTTACCAGTGTCCACACAGACTTGCACACCAATACTCTCAGAAGCATTATTCATCACAGCTTTAAACTAAAAGCACTTAAATGCTTTTTTACATTTACATCTATAGTTCTCCAGCCTTGCTATACATGATTTTTTATTTAATGGGCTTGGAGTAGACCATAGACACTTGTCAGTTTTCAAAACTTTCCAGGTGATTCTACAGGGCCATGAGGATCACTGTTCTATAGAGTCCAGCACATATTCTTTGCCTCTCTCTCTCTAAATTGATGTCTCAGTCCTGGGAAATGTGGGGTTTTTTTTATTGCATTGCTCCTGAACTGAGTGTGGCCAAGGTTGCATAAATGTAAGCCCTACATCACAGTATTTTATTTGAGCATCAGACTGAGGAATATACCTCTGGCATCCAGTGAGTCCCAAAACTCCCCCCTATTTTCCCTTCTCACAGTTTGAGGTCAATGATCCTCTTGCTTCTACTCTTGCCATCAAAGTCTATGACAATGGGACCACTTGGGATCTACTTCCCAAGGGAAGCTCAGGACCTAGCTCCCTCTCTAAGGAATTCCACCTTCAATCGCCCAGTTTGCTTTTTGTGAGTTCAGGGTGTTCTGTCCCTCCCTATTTTCTGTTTATTGTACATTTTTCTTGCTTAGTAAGATGGAAAAAACCCCCACATTCATTGACTGCTAAGGCACATCTCTCACAATCATCCTATCACATAAGTATATTATTATCCTTATTTTCAGACATTGATCCTCAGCTAGGCTAATGGGCCAAGGTCATCCAGCTAATAATTGTAGATCAAGTATTTCAACTCAAGTCTTCTTAACTCCAAAGCCTGTGTACTTTCTACTACAATGTGTTGGCTTCTCTCCACCTTGCCTCTTTGCAGAGAAAGGATTTCCACATTCCCTTTAAAATGCAATTTAATTGTAAATACATTCTTGCAAAGCTCATTCTGTCTCTCTCATTTTCTCGTTTCCTTCCTCACTCTCCTAAGAGATAGTCATTAGGAAGGTACATTCTGTTTCTAAGTCTGTTTTGCCTTATACAAAAAGTCTCCTTCCAAAAACCCAGTGGAGGTGCCCTGGAGAGTTCCAATGGTGTCCTTATACTCTCTCTGTTGGATTTGTAGACTCCTATAGCTTTGAGCAACCCATTATCCCAATGATACAAAGTCCTACACCTTATCTCAGCCAGCCTGAAGCCTGTGGACCCTCACCATCAGGGGAAATGTAAATTAAAGGCAAACTGAATTTTTCATCAAATAAACAGTTGGGTTTTGTTGGAGTCTAGTGAGCAAGGCAGGGCACTGCTCCATTTTAAACCCTTATCAGAGCCCAACAAACGCTTTTTCCAACGTGGCTGGTTTTAAATTTTTGTGGCAGGTAGAGAGATGATAATGGAGTCAACCTCTCAGGGTCTCATTCCATTGCCCTTGTACAAAAGCTTGCTTTCAGCAAATGTCAGCCCCGTGACTGGGGAACTTTCTTAGAGGTCAAGTTTCACCAACTCTACGGCAATTGCAGGGACATGAATTTTGTTCTAGTCCTTGGACCAAATCCCAGACCCCCTGTTTACAAAGTATACGGTTTGGGGCAAGTTTTATCATTTGTCTGAATCATAAATTACCACTTATTCCTACAGCTGCATTTCCATCGTTGTCTCGTCCATTCTTTCTTTTTATCATTACCACTTCTTGTACATCGCTCTGGGACCTTTGCATGTGCTGTTTCCTCTGCCTGGAATCCTCACAGACCATCATAGCTGAAAGAAGCTTTTTTTGTCTACCCATTTCATTTTTTAAAAATGGAAACTAAGGCCCAGAGAGATGAGGTGACTTTTCCAAGACCAAGCAGTAAGTCGACAGCAGAAGCCTGCACTTGTAAGCCTCACTGTGGAGGGAGCAGACGGAGAAGGGGAGGCGGGGACAGTGGAGCACAGACACGGCCATTTCGGGAGCAGTTCTTCGTGTCTGTGATCACCAGGAGTCTGAGCACACCCAGACACGTAGAGAAGGATTCGTTCCTGTACACTCCCAGAAAGGGAAAGTATTGTCCATTTCACATATGTGGGAAGTGAGGCTCTGAGAGATTGCTAGCATTGTCACTAGATACAACTGGTAGTTAATTAACTTAGGATTTAATTGAGGTCTGATTCAGGGCTCTCTGAATTCAAAGCCATGTTCTACAGGGTAAAAAAGTGTAAGAATGTTGCAAAAGCCCTCCCATGCTGCGCTGCCAAACATCCACAAACCTATCCCTCTCTCAAAGATCAGCTCAGAATCACCACCTCCTGAAAAGCCTCCCTTCACTCCCCTTCTGACTAGACTCTCCTGTTTTTCCTCTTCACTCTGCCACTTTGTACATACCCTTGTGGAGCTCTCCTAATGCCATTTTACAGTATTTTTGACATGGATGTCTCCAATACTCAGTAGCTGCTTGTTGAGGGAGGCCTGAGACCACACATGAACCTCTGTATCTGTCCTTTACTGACACATAATGCCCACATGTATAATAATTACAGGTATGAGGTCATAACTGGTATTATATGTCCAGTTGGGTACATAATGGGTACTCAGCAAATATCTAATGTGAGACAAAATTAGTGTGGTGGTTTTCTCCAAGAATTTCTACTTATTCTGGGGGTGTAATGATATTTTTAATTAAAGGGTCTCTAAGATAGGTATAAAGACAGTTTAGCTCATTAGGAATGAAATATCACAAGAAATTGTGCCTACCATACTAAAAGGGAAAATTTGCTGACATTAAAGATGGAATGAAGACCATTAACAGTACTTTGGGAGGCTCCTTTATTTCCTTCTGTACGTGGAGAACATTATGTGCTGCTAAGCATTTTGCACAGCATGAGTTTCTCAAAAAGAATTGTTCATGGAACATAAGGCAGGGCTTATTCATTTCAGCATCCCAAGCATCTCCCTGGCCTTCACCCCCACCACCAGCGCCTAGCACACAAGCAGTTTTTCAGTCTCATTTGAATTGGGAATGTTCTGGGAGAGGAGCCCACAGGTGGAAAGGTCAAGCATGTGGGGTTAGAGGTTCCTCCCCCGGGAGTTAGTGTAGCAGCTGGACCCATCTGAATCTCTCCTGGCTCCAAGTCCTTCCAACCCTTCTTCTCTCTACTAACACTTTCCTCATGGAAAATTCTCTGGCTGTGGGAATTCTTTGAGAAATGGGAAATGCCTGTCCCAATAGAACAGTACCAGGTGCTAAATCAAGAAAAGCAAACAAGAAAAGAACTCCCGGGGGCAATGCACCAAATACCAAGCCAAATTCTCACCACCACCGGGCAAGGTCCCATTAACTCAATTTTACAGAAATGTAAGCAGGATCCCCTGAGACATGGGCAAGATGGAGCAGAGAACTGACCCAGGTTGATCTGAATCACCACTGATGAGTATAATAATTCAGCAAATTGACTGCATCATTTTCTTAGCCATTCCCCTTCTTGTCATGGGTTTAAATTACATTCTCCTTCTCACCATTGTAAATAACACCACCAGGTTTTAATACCAGAAAAAAACCTTTTTGCCTACATTTAAGATTGCTGAATTAAGAAGCATGGATACTTTTAAGGTTCTTTTTTTATTATTAAATTCTTTTATTGGTACATTGTAGGTATACAACACAATTACGTTTCACATTGGGAATTGTACCTTTACATAATGCATCTTGATTCTTCTTTTTTCCCCATTCCTAGCCCTCCCTTCACCCCCTCCACCCTTCCCTATTTACAAAGACTTTATTTCCATTTTTTCCATTTCTCAG